TCTAAGTATGTATGCATATTTATAAATAATTAACGTAATTAGAAAAACTAAGTGTGTCGATGATATATATAATATAAAAAGAAAAGTAGTAAAAGTTGGATTTGATGATCCCTAAGACGAGGAATGTCCCTTGGAGAGTCACGCATGCATGGGGGGTTTAGAAAGGTACATCGGATCATGGGCTTCTTGGATCACGCTTCATTTATATAATACCAATTTTACGTCTTCAACACAATTTCCATCTTTCGATGATCATCTTCCTTCATCAACATCAATTAAATAATCATGCATGCATGCTTCAGATTTTTGTATTAATGATCATAATTTGTATTCCACATTACATACTATAGATGAATTAACGAGTATGTCACATCAATTTCACTCATGTAAACATGGTTTTCCAAGCATTTATAAGATCAACCGTTTGGAAACAATGTTTTCGAGATGTAAAATTTGAAGCTTATATATATACAATTTATGTTCATACGGTGGATGCTTATAATCATGTTTATCTTCATTATACTAAATATATCCTTAACCTAATATACTCTAATAGATAATTATCCATGTCAATTTGCATAGTTTTGATGCTGGACATAATTATTTGAACATAATATAGAACTTGTAAATTTACAACACAACAAATCCAAACTATATAGGAACTAATGGATATAAATACTATTTCAACCATCATTATATTAGTGAACAATGAATAGCATTAAAGGTTGATTTATAAATTATGATCTAGAACCAGAAACACAAACAATAATGATTTTGAAATGTTAGAAACTTTGATTACTTGAAAACTGGAAGTCTAATAGTTTGAAAGGGGTAGAACAAAAAAAGAGCCCCCAACAGAACCAAAAAGAAAAATGTGTAATGATTAATGATTAACGACTCTTTATGTTTACTAAAAAATTAAAAGAATTTAGGTTATGTTTATAAAACTAGTTAATAAGTTAGCTAAATAGTTGATAAATTAGCTGGTAGCTGATAAGTTAGTTGTTGAGCTAATCATTTTTGATAAAACTAGTTGATAAGTTAGCTGATTAATTAATCACGTTTGATAAAAAAATAGTTGATAAGTTAGTTGACATCTTGAAAATTTAGTATTACAACATTTTATAATGTAAGTAAAATAAATCACTCATGATATAATTTATTAATTCATACAAACAAGTTAATAAACAAAATTAAACAATATAATAAGTTAACAAAAAGAATTCTAATTTGATTATTTATTTATTTATTTATTATTATTATTATTTATTATTATAAAATTTGGATATGTATAACCAAAACAAATCGTAGAAAAAAACTATTAATTTATGATTTTAAAGTAATTGATCAATCTCAAATATCTTAATCAAATAATATTTTTTCACAAAATATAATTAATAATAAAATTAAATCATTTATTAAATCATTTATCATAGTTTTATTATTTATTAAAAAAAAGTATAATTTTAATTTCTATGTAACTTACTTAAACATTTATCAAATTGTTCTATTTGTTTTCAATCACTAAATATATTAAATAATAATTAAAATATTATATAAAAATAATTGATATGATTATTAGTAATTTTTTAATAATTAATATTGACGTACAATTACAATTAATTAATAATTTTCAACTAAAATTAATTATTATTAATTATTATTTATTAATAATTAATAGTAACTAATACCAATTGTTAATCAGTATAATAAAAAAAAGTGTCAAAATAACTCTCAAGTGAAGTAGCGTTTTAATAAACAAACTTATAGATTACTTTTGGTCCAGTAAAACATGCCTCTGAATTAAAGTCAAAAAATAAGAAAAGCATCCGCAATATAATACTAGCTTTTTCTTTGGTGTTTATTCGTAAAGTTTTCGTGATAAGTGTACTTGCACGACTTACTTTTTCAGAGGTTTTTCTTATGTTTAAATTAACTTTTGTAATTTTTATTGTCCATAATTTTATACAATCTTTACATATTTATTTCAAGTATTTTAATATAAAGTATTGTTCAATTTAGATTATTTAAGTAGTTAATTCTTTTATTTAAAAATCTTCCCTGTCTCATGCTTCCAAATCCCCTTTGGGAAAAATTGTAGAAACTGATGCCTTGAACATTGGTTATGGAGGCATTTTAAAGCAAATTGATCCCCACTCTAAGCAGGAGTACCTTATTAGATTCTATTCTGGTAAATGGAAAGGTGCTCAATTAAATTATTCTGCTGTAGTTAAAGAACATTTTGCTATTGTTAAATGTGTCTTAAAATTCCAAGATGATTTATATAATCAAAAGTTCTTGATAAAAACTGATTGTAGCTCTACTCAATTTATGTTTAGCAGAGATTTTAAACACGATGTTTCTAAACAAATGGTTGCTAGATGGCAAGTTCATCTTGCTCCTTTTGATTTTATGTTCAACATATTAAAGGGGTTGATAACCACCTTCCTGATTTCTTAACCCGTGAATATTTATCATGATTTCAGGAATGAGCTCGAACTATAGCTCCTACTCCTCTTATAGGGGAAGTGGAAGTTCTTCAAGAAGAGGAAGAGGCGGTGGCGGTCGAAATTCCTCTAATAGAGGAAGAGGAAGCGGTAATGTCATTGCCCATATGGGAAAACAAAAGCTTATAGCTTCTGATCTATCTCAGGATAAAGATGTAAAAGGCTTTATAGATAATATCCCTAAAGACCATCCTTTAGCAGAAGCATACCTTAATTATATCAAGGAAAAAAAAGCAGAATCTTCTTCTGCAGCAGCCAGTTCCTATGCTAATATCAGCAAGGAAGACTCTTCGAATTCTCAATTCCATGAGTCAAAATTCAAAGAAGTTATACTTCTTATCGAAGAAAAAGATCTTCAATGGAAAGATAATTCAGATTTTCTTCTAGAAATATATCTTAATAAGACATCTTTTGTTCATGGTTCTTTAAAACAAAGACAATATTATGAAGGTCTTTTACTTTCTACAAAATCTGTAGAAATTACTCATCATTCTTCAAATAACAGAGATGAGGCCCATGGCAATTTTAGTTTTTCGGAACTTGTGATCAAAAAGATTATATCTTTTGAAGAATGGAGATTTACTCCTCTTGCTGAGAAAGAATGGTTTTCTCCAGCCCATAAGCATAATTTTAAGTTCAACTACTGGGATTATATCCAGAGTTTTTCTAATGTATTGCTTTACGAAAATGAGAACAAAAGACATTCTTGGTTCTTAAAAATTTGTGAAAATTGTTTCCATACTCCAATTCCTAATTGGTTTTATTTATGGTGGAGAAATTTTGGAACCGTATCTGATATTTTCCCAGAACATATGAAAAATCATATCAAAAACTGGATGTTATATTCTCCAACAGTTAATAACTGTAGAAGTCTTTATAACATTGAAGGAAGCAATATTTGCTTATTCTTTGTAGAATTTGGTGTTCCATGGATTTGGAAATGGAAACCGATTTTTAGTTATAATAATATGATGATCCCTTGCATCAAAAGGCAAGGTCTTACAAAATACTGGAACAAATTGGATCGCATTTGTCTAGGTTCCACTCTTATAGAGGGATCAGATCTTTATA